CAAAAGTGAAAGTAAAGCAGGCAATAAGATAGAAAATATGGAATGGTTGCACCATTGTATGATTAAGGAGGAGTGCTGAATGCAAAAAAAAAGGCCAGAATTTATATAGCAGATAAGCAGGATTAAATACAATTATAGCAATGATTGAAGAAGATGAGAAAATAAGTTTGATATTGTCACAGGTTTTGTCTTTTCACTCGTGAAGGAGGAGGGTAGGACTTACAGTTAATGCTAGCACCCGGTGTAGTGTTGTCGAACAGAAATGACATTTGGAGTACTGTGTACAGTTCTAATTACCCTGTTACTGGGAGGATATTATTAAGTTGGAGACCATTCAGAAAAGATGTGCAAGTAAGTTGCCTGGACGGAGGGTTTGAGTTGTCGATGAGTTGGGAACTTTTTCCCTGGAGTGTAGGAGGTTGAGGGGTGATCTTACAGAGGTTTATAAAATCATGAGGGACATAGATAAGGCAAATAGCAATGGTCTTTTCCCTAGGGTGGGGTAAGTTCAAAACTAAGGGGCATAGGTTTAAGGTGAGAGGAGAAAGATTGAAAAGGGATCTGAAGGGCAACCTTTTCACACAGAGGGTGGTTCGTATGTGGAGTGAGCTGCCGCAGGAAGTGGTGGTTGCAGGTACAGTTACATGAATAGGAAAGGTTTAGAGATACGTGCCAAATGGGACTAGTTTAGTTTGGGAGATTTGGTCCGAGGAGTCCATTTCCATGCTGTATGACTGTATAATAAAAACAGACTGTCACTAACTGTAGAATTCAATCTCTCTCCTTTCTTAATTTTTAAACTGTATTACAAGGTATTCCCGTTAATTTTACTCAGCATTTTATTCAATAATTCTAATCACACAGATGTAGAGAGAATTGTAAGGTAGATTATCAATGCTCAGAGTCGTCATCATGTGCAGAGTGACTGATTTTAGAAAAAGATCTTTAACCCATTCGCCTATCTGTTTTCATTTCTTTACTCTTGCCCTTAATGTAACTATTCTTGGAATGAACAAATTAGTTCTAAACACATTTGGCTCATTCCCATGCCTAACTGTGCATGTTTAATCTGCAGTAATTAAATGCAAATGGTTCTGTTGCATGTTCTGCATATTATCAAATTATACACTTAGAGGCAAGTCATTTAGTCAATTAACCATCTTGTTTACCGATATACAAGGTGAGGCAAAAGACAGGGATGCAGTCCTTCGTGGCCTTGTTGAAATGGTCAGAGCTGAAAAGAATCAAAAACAAGGCAGAAATGGTCTTTCTTCACAGTTACTGGAGCTAAGATTAGTCTCATCCTGTGTGTGCATTGTTTAGCAAGCAATGATATCATAGATTTATCTCTTAACGATCTTAACCACCAGCTTCACTCATAAACCGGACTCTGACTCCTGGCCTCAGCGTGGACTCAACTCAAGATGAAGGCTGGCGCAGTCTGGGTTGAAAGGACTGTTATTCTGAACTCTTATTTCTCTACTTTTCTAATTTATTTCTGGAACTTTTATTTCTTTATTTTTCTAAATTTTCCCCTTAAGAATTTGTACATAAGAATCTGTACCTTGGTACCTAAGATGGCACTGTAAGTAGCAACATATAAACACTTCACTCATACGAGTACATCTGGCAATAAAGCTAATGCTAATTCTAATTCTGAAGAACCATGATACCAGGTTACAATCCAACAGGTTTATTTGAAATCACAAACTTTCATAGCACTGCTCCTTCATCACTGCTCCCGTATTGGACAATGTAACTATAGTAGCCCAAGCCAAACATAGACACACACGGGAATTCCTAGAGGCATGGTTCTCAACCCGTAATGCAATCAACAAACATATAGGATTGGACCCCATGTACAAATCTGTTCAAAAACGGAAATGACACTACTCATCATAATGGACTGGACAGTATAAATTCCAAGCGGAGTAGAACAACATCATTTCACTGGAGGCCTCACTGATGATATTACTAGCACAGTGACAAGATGTCTGAACGAAAACAAGGCAGCAACCTCACCCACAACCCAAGCTACAAATCTTTGCTAAAACTTTAAAGTTCCAGATTTTTACTACACCCCATTTAAGAAAGTACCTCCTGACATCACTTCTGAACAGCCCAGCTCTAATTTTATGGTTATATCCCCTTGTTCTACAATCTTCCACCAGAGGAATTTTTTTTGCTATATCTACACTATTAGATTCTTTAGTCACTCCTTAATCCCTGAAATCAAGGGAATACAAACCTGGTACATGTAACCTGTTCTTATAATTTAACTCACTCAGCCCTGTATATAAAGAACTTTTTTTTTTTAAAATTGATTCACGGGATGTTAGCATTGCTGGGATGCCAACATTTATTGCCCACCAGGAAGTTAAACATTTGCACACTCTATATTTTGACAGAACTGTTACCACAAAATGTTTCAAAGTTCACATACATGCTGCCATGTAGTATGAATAGATCACTTAGACCATAAGATGAAAGAGTAGGAGGCCATTCAATCTATCAAGTCTGCTCCGCCATTCAACAAGATCTGATAATCCTAGACCCAAAGTTGTCACTCGTCTAACAGCAAGAAGGTCAGTCCAGTGTTATTTTTATTTGTTGCAGTATGGTGCAACTCAGTGGCTTACTGAAAGGACAGTTAAGAGTCAACTGCATAGTTTGTCTAGAGGCCCACAGCATCAGCTAGGTCAAGAAAGACCACAAGTGAATCAAATGGGTTTCAGTAGTTTTACAATCGCCATTGCTGATTGTGTTTTATTTCAGATGAACATTGAAACGTAGAACAGTACAGCACAGTACGTACCCTTCGATTCATGTTGTTGTGCCGGCCGGTTATCCTACTCATCTGAACAAAACAGAATTCAAATTCCCCCAGCTATTGTGGTGGGATTTGAACTTGTGTTCCAGAATTTGGGGAGGTGTGGGATGTACTGGAGTAGTAATTGCAAAACCACATCTTTTGATTCTTTATTTTAGATTTTGGATGAATGTGGGGGAAGGATATTGCTGTAAACCAAGAACAGTGGAAGGAGTTGCCTCACTTTTAAAAGCAAGTTACTGGAACTCATTGTGAGTTGTGTTTACACTGTTGCTCTGTTCAAGCAGTCGGAAGATGCCTAAGACTTGATGACACCATGGGCATATGTGCAGAGCAAGGTTTACCCAGAGACTGATTTGGTTTGTGCAATTAGGGCAGGATGTGGATGCCAGGAGTCATTAGCATGACAACAACTCTGGTTCCTAGACTGGGGGACAGCTTATATATGAACAATATATATAAGTAACTTGGGGATCCATGGTGAATTGTTGGGTACAAAATTGACTTGGTCAGAAGACCGAGGGTAGTTGAGGGGTGCTTCTCTGACTGGAGGTCTGTGACCAGTGATGTTCCACAAGGAACCTCTTGTGTTAGGACCTCTGTTGTTTGTAATATATATGTAAATGATTTGGATGAAAATACAAGTGGTCTGATTAGTAAGTTTGTAGACAGCACAAAAATTGGTAGAGATGTGGTTAGTGAGGAAGGTTATTAAAAGGACACAGCAGGATACAGATCATTTGGAAAGTTGGGTGGAGGAATGGCAGATGGAGTTTAATCCAGGCAAACGTGAGGTAATGTATTTTGAGAGGTCAAATGCAAGAGGAAAGTATACAGTAATTGGAGAACCTTTGGAAACATTAATATACAGTGAGTGCAAGTCCATACATCCCTGAAAGTGGCAATGCAATTGGATAAGGTGATGAGGAAGCATGTGGCATGTATTCTTTCATTGGTGGAGAATGGAGTTAAAAAGTTGGCAAGTCATGTTGCAGCTGTATAAAACTTTCGTTCGGCCACATTTCAAATATTGTATGCAGTCCTGGCACCGTACTATAGGAATGATGTAGAGGCTTTGAAGTGCAAGAAAGGTTTACCAGGATACTGCCTGGTTTGGCGTATATTAGGAATAAATAGTGGTTGGACAAACTAGAGCATAAGAGGCTGAGGGGCAACCAGGTAGCAAGCTATACCAGACCTGGTATTGTGCGATGAGATAAAACTAATTCATGGTTTCAAGGTTGAAAGCCCCCTGAGGTAGCAGCAACTATGACTGAATTTTGTGTACAATCTGAGGGAGAGAGGAGTGATTCTCAGACTTGTATTTAAATCTTAAATAAGAACGAAAGCATTAAAGTATTATTGGCTAAAGTGAATTTGCAAAGTAGTTTAAAGGATACATAAATAGAGATGCATTAGCAAATATTTAAGGGAGTATTTCAGAATGAACAGAATAGTTACATTCCAAAGAATAAGAAAGTTCCAATTCACCTGTGGTTAACTGGAAAGGCTATATAGCATCAAACTCACAGAAAAAACACAATTGTGTAAAGACAGGAGATAGGTCAGAATGCTTTATAAAGCAAAGAATGACTAACAAAATTACTTCACCTGACGAAGGGCAGTGCTCCGAAAAGTTTGTGATTTCAAATAAACCTGTTGGACCTGGTGTCATGTGACTTCTGACCTCATTCCCCCCCCCAGTTCAACACCGGTACATCCACATAAAAAATTACAAAGGAGGGAAAAATCAGATTGGGAGAAAACTAGCCAGAACTAAAAAAAAAACTGATAGTAAGATAGTAAATATAACTCTTTTTTTTAAAAGTTAGCAAAGTGAGCTAAGTTGGTCCTATAGAAAGTAAGTCTGGAGATTTCATAATAGAAAATAAAGAGACGGCAGACAAACTCAGCAGGTATTTTGCATCAGTCTTCACTACAGAGAAAAAAAAACATCCCAATCTAATCTAATCCCAGCTCTAAATCAGAGAAGGGAAGAGAAGAGGAAACTCAGGAAAAATTATACTAACCAGAGAAGTAGTACTGAGCAAATAATTGGAACTGTGAACTGACAAGTGCCAGGTCCTGATGGATTTTATTCCACAGTCTTAGAAGAAGTGGCAAGTGAGATAGTTGATGCATTGCTTTTAATTTTCAAAACCTCCCTAAATTCAGGGAAACCTTTATTAGATTTGAATATAAATCCTTTATTTAAAAAGGGAGGGAGACAGAAAACAGGAAACTACAGCCAAATAGCTTTACAACCTGAGCCATTAGGAGACCAGTCAGTCTTTACTCAAATGAAGTCCAAATATTCAGGTTAACTAGACTTACTGAGACTAATTCATGGTCATTTGATTACAATGATTTCCCTCCATCCACAATTAGGCATTATTAATGATACACATTTATTATCTACAAACTGGACTGCATTTACAGATTGTTGTGTAAAATAGTACAGTTTATAAAATGAATATATTAAATTCTTTCTTCCATTCACTGAACTTTATTACTGTTAACATAAAAAGACCTTGGGAGTAGAATTCCTCCCAACAATAATTTTACATGAAAAGGTTGATGTGATCACAGAGAGTCTTCTACTTTCCAATCACACCAACTTTTGCAGTACAATTATTGACATGGCAACATTCAGAGCCTTCAACATTTGGACCATAAATAAGCAGAGAGTCTCATACAGCTTTGTTTTGGTTGACAAGGATTTAAAAACAAAGATCTGCATTCAGTGGGCAAAGTAAATGAATGAGCTCTTGACACTGAGTAGCCTTCAACCTTCAGAGGATCAGGAGCAGAGCATTCACGTTCAACTTTTTCTGTCAAATTTCCAAACCACCAGGTCAGCAGTAAAAGGGTCAAATTGCCTTCAAACTTTCACCCTCCCACCCCCTCACCAAACCCCACTGAAATAGCAATTTTTCTTGCCACGTTTAATCTTCAAATCTACATGGGAGATCTACATGGGATTTATCCAGCATCCTTTCTGAAGGAATTCAATTTGAGTCAAATATTTCAGGTATTAAGAATCAGCAGTCAGGCTTATATCTGAAATATTATTGATTTTAGTGGTTATAAAATTGTCTCTAAAATGAGTAAAAATTTGTATGTAAATGATCTGGATAAATCCCTGATTTGAGACATTCCTCGTTCAGAGACCATCCTCATATTTCCGGTCTGTATCCTCTTTCTTCAATTGGAGAGGCACCACAAACCTACTCCCTTCAATGAGGGGTGCTAGCTATCCCAGTCCTCCTCCTTCACTCATCTTCCTCCCAAGTGAAGATGTCCATCAGTCAGTACCTCACAGCCGATACAATCAATAAGGTAGAGGTTAAAAATTTTGCCACATTTAATAGACTGGATCAATATGCATTGGAATGGAAGATCCTATTATAAATGGATTTTTTTTTCACACAATCTTTGTTTGTTAAGTATAAAATGGAGTCCTGTCAGGCACAAGCTGTTCTTTGATGTATCAGAGTACACAGTTTTTGGAGGGGGAAGGGGAAGGGGTTTGCCTTACTCAAGGTTTTCCCTCTCTTCCTGAATTGACCAGCAGGCGGTTGAGTCTTTCTGCAATGAAATCGATGATCAAAGACGAGACTCCATGAGATAAACTGTTCCAGTCCAGAGGAAAGCCCACTCCATCATAGTCAAAACTAAATCTTCTCTACTTTTAAGTCTCGGCTTTCTTTATAAATATCTGAAAGAGGTGCCACAACATTGGAATAAATTAGTGTGATAAGGCATATTTTTTGCAGCACAGAAATTCAATACACAAAACTGTACCAGTTTTTATATGCTACAAGAGCCACTTTAACCATATTAGCATGGTTTTTCAATCATTTCTCATTTATTTATCTAGCTTCCACTTAAATGCATCCCTGATACTTGACTATTACTCTTGCAAATGGGATGGATCACAAAAATGGGATAGTCTCGCTCCAACTGAAGAGGGAGACCACACCTAGAGTACACAGTCCTCAATATCCACATAGGATAATAGCATGGATAACAAAAATGTAGATACCACTCCTACGTACCTCACCTACATACCCCTCCAATGATTGTGAGAGTCACTACATTTCAAACCAGTGGGACAAGAGGGCAGAGAGATTCGGTGGCATAAAAGTGCCAGGAAATGTATCTGTACAAGGTATGATGTATAATGTATAATGATGTATAATGTTGAAATTGCTTTTAGGGTTTGAATTTTGAACTAATGAAATAATACTTTTGGGCTGTGTCTATGAAGGGGTTTACTGATTAACTTGTAAAGTTTTCTGAAGCTATGTTTGCTTGAAAAAGGTATGGAAGTAGCAGATTTTAGAAGTTAATGGGAATTTGTTTACATTGGGAGAGTTATTTTAATTAATGAACAAAGTAAACCGTATTACGCAGGAGGATTCGGTAGAAGGATCTAGAATGGTGTTGTTTTTGGCTTAGGGGAACAGCAAAACTTACAGAAAGCTTTTGGTTTCAGTTCAGATTTGTAGAAATCCTAGAGCTGGATTTAAAAAACAGTTTCTCCTAAAGGAAGGAGATAATTTGGAACTGTAAAGAAATAGGTTTCTTGATTAGTAAGAAATTTAGTTTGATGGTTTCAAACCATAAGTGTTTGGTTAAAACCATGAAGGGGTTATTTGAAGCTGAGAAAGTCTAAGCAAAGTTGTATGAAGCGTCAAGGAAGAAGTGATCCGAGTCTAAAGACCAGGAACTGAAGCATCATCTCAGGGCAGTGACTTGAAAGAAATTCGGGGATTTATATATATACATTAATCAATTGAAACCTTCTGACTGATTAAAGATTTAACAGCATCTTAGGTTTATTTAATACATCGTCATCAGTTATTTAACCCTTTGATTTTTTACTTGTAAATTCTATGTTCTGTGTGCTTCTTTCTCACTTCACCTGAAGAGGCTACGCTCTGAAAGCTTGTGTTTTCAAATAAACCTTTTGGACTATAACCTAGTGTTATGTGATTTCTGACCTTGTCCACCCCAGTCCAACACCAGCACCTCCACATCATGGCTATTATAGAGAAGGGCAATTCTTTCAGATGTACTGAAAAGGAGTGCCATTAAAATTAGAGATAACAAGGTGTGGAGCTGGATGAACACAGCAGGCCAAGCAGCATCATAGGAGCAGGAAAGCTGACGTTTCGGGCCTAGACCCTTCTTTAGAAAATTGTTATTGTTATCTCAGATTCTCCAGCATCTACAGTTCCTACTATCTCTGCCATTAAAATTAACTGGATTAGATTTTATTGTATCTTTTGAAATATTTAACCTTGGATTAAATGTAAATAATTTGGTTTATTCTACTTCATCTTCATTACTTTTGCAAAATAAATTTGTTACTGTTAAAACCAAATCTGCAGCATTGCATGCTTGTGCTTCATAAAAACAAAAGAACAAAATATGATCTATCAAGGCATATTTCAGTCTTTATCTCATTTATCCAGTAAAAGTATCAGCTGAGATCATACCAATAGATGTTCAATAGCTGGATGAGCTGCCAGGTACAGTAAAAGATTGATCTAGCACGGTAATCTAGACATAGCAAATGATAAAGACCTGCTCCAACTGAGCCCCCTCCTATTTCTAATTCCAGGAAACATGCTCCAATGAAGATATTAGTGTCAAATCAAAAACAATTCTTTTAAGATTCTAAGCTCCAACTATTGACCACCAGTGCAAGATACCAGTAAAACTTGCATTAAAAAGAGTTTTTTCATAGTAGAAATACCCCAAAAAGCTTGAAAGAAGCAATGATCAGCTTAAATCTGACATCAAGTCACAAAGAAATATTAGTACAGATGACCAAAAGTTTGTTCAAACAGGTAGGTTTTAAGCAATGTTTTAAAGGAACAAAAAGAGTTAAAGAATTTTAGAGAGGAAATTCCAAAGCTTAGGGTTTAGGCAACTGAAGGCCTACAGTGAAGCAATGGAAAGAATCATACCTCACTGAGTATCACCCAAACTGGCGAATCTGATAGGGTGGACAGACGGACGACCTCCAGTGGCCCAAACATTGGATCCACAACTCCCTCGGCGATACCATTTATAAAGAAAGCTGAAATATAAGGAAAGGATTTAAGGACCTGATCAGCCATTAACGATTCAGATCCATTATCTAGAGTTTTGTTTACATAGGCAATTATTTACCCCATTTATCTTAGCCCAAGCTAACCAAACTCCACAGCCACCCATCAGGCGTGTTTCAATGGAAAGTTATATAGATTTTTATGCTTTGCAATAGAAATAAAACTCTCAGCACTCAAGATCATATATCAGTATGTTTAAAAGTCTTACCGATTCTGATGTATCCATCTTCTGTTCTCTGGTATTTGGGAGTCTTGTCTTTACCATCCAGTAAGGTCTCCTTCCATGACAGTTCTGTCTGTATGGTAGAATAAGAGGTATTCAGACATCTATCATTGTTTTCTGTATTTTCCTGTTACACCTACACTGCACTGCAATATCTCAGTTTTAAAATTCTAATCCTTGTTTACTGTTTTCATGATGACCTCTGCAATCTCCATCAGCCCCACAAACCTGAGATCTCTGTGCTCTGATAACTCTGGTGTCTTGCTCATCCCTTCAAGTACTTGCCTTCCCCCCACCCCCTAAAAATTCTGGAATTACCTCCCTGAACTTCTCTGTCCAGTCACATGTGAAGATTGAGAGACTATTTAAATAAAACTAGTCAATTAACTCTTACGCTCCACTATTCCTGATACATAATGAACAGGTTAAGGCTACTGAGTGTCTCAAACCCATTCCACATTTAGTTAGATATGGTTGGTCAGCACCTTAATTCCATTTACCTGCCTTATCTCTATATCACTTGATACCCTTAGCTAGGCAGACCTTTATTGAACTCAGTCTTGAAAACTTTCAATTGACCCTCAGCTCACAACCTTTTGTATTTCAGTGAGTTCAGGTTTTCATTGCCCTGTGGAAAAAGTGTTTCCTGGTTTTATCCCTGAATGCCCACTCTAAGTTATGCTGCCTTGTCCTGGACTTATTCTCCATCCCAGTCTCCCCTAACTATTCCTATAAACCCTGTCAAGTGCTCTCATTATTATGTACAGTTCAATTAGATCACCCCTAAACCTTATATTTTCAACACAATACAAATGAGTACAGTCACACAGGAGTCTGTGCTGGGACTCATATAAAACATATATAAAACATATGGCAATTTGCAGCAATGACTTAGGTGAAGGGATCAAAGGTTTGCTAGTTAAATTCAGTGTCATCAGTGATATCAAAATAGGTAGGGAAACATGTTGTGAGAAAGACAAAGTTGCAGACAGACATAAAAAAGGTTGAATGAGTGGCCAAAAATCTGGCTGATGGAGTACAGTATGGGAAAACACAAAGGTAATCAAAAGGAAAAAGCTGCAGATGCTGGAAATCTAAAACAAACACAGAAACTCAGCAGGTCTGGCAGCTTCTGTGGAGAAAGAAACAGAGTTAATGTTTGAGTTTGGTATGACTTCTTCAGAGCATGAAGGTATTCAGTTTGTCATAAAGAATTAAAAAGCAATGCATTACTTAAACAGAGAACAACTGAGCAATTTTGAGGTCCAAGGTGTAGAGCTGGATGAACACAGCAGGCCAAGCAGCATCATAGGAGCAGGAAGGCTGACGTTTCGGGCCTAGATCCTTCATCAGAAATGGGCGAGGGGAAGGGGGTTCTGAAATAAATAGCGAGAGAGGGGGAGGCGGATAGAAGATGAATCCCTATGTTTTAGAAGCAGGCTGTTCAGCCCATCAAGACCCACCCACCTACCCTATCCCTGTAACCCACATTTCCTATGGCTAATCCACCTAGCCTGCGCATCCCCGGACACTATGGGCAATTTAGCATGGTCTATCCATCTAACCAGCACATCTTTGGACTGTGGGAGGAAATCCACGCAGATATGGGGAGAATATACAAACTCCACACAGACAGTTGCCTGAAGGTGGTACCAAACCCAGGTTCCTGGCGCTGTGAGGCAGCAATGCCACCGCCAAGTGACTGTTAGCACAGTTATTTTATGAGAACAGGTTAGATAGAATAGGCTTACTCCCACTGGAGTTTAAAAAAAATTAGGAGTGACTCGACTGAAATATAAAAGATTCTGAATGGTCTTGACAAGGCGGATGTGGAAAGGATATTTCCTCTCGTGGCACAGTCCAGAACTGGGGGGGGGAGGTGGGGGGGTGGGGCGAGGGTGGAAGAGGAACTGTTTTAAAATCGGGGCTGTCCTCGAGGAGATTTCTTTTCTCTCAGAGGGCTATGTAGCTTTGGAACACTGCCTGTGAAGGCAGTGGAAGCTGGGTCCTTAAATATTTTTAAGGCAGTGGTTGATGGATTCTTGTCAGGCAGAAGATGGGAATGTGAAATTCAAAACAAACAGATTTGTCATTATTTTATTGAATGACAGAGCTGACTACAGGGACTGAATGGTTTACTTACAGTCCCCTTTCAAATGTTCTTTTAATACTCAATTCCTTTCTCCACACATTGGGGCCAGAAGTTGCTTCTGTTTACAATATCAATTTGAAAGATTAGCAACTAGCTTTAGATCCTCTGCTATTGGCTGAGAGAAACCTAAACCACTTGGCCAAGAAACGGAAACAATTATTTGTTGATCATTTATTCCTAAGGTGTCATGAGATCAGCATTTAATGTCTATTCCTAATGGCCCTTCAGAAGGGGATGGTGAGCTTTTTTTGGATCATTACAGTTCATGTGGTGAAGGAACTTTGACAATGCTATTGGCAGTGCTGGAGTTACAGAATTTTGACCCAGCAATGATAAAATTAGGTTAAACTATCGTTACAAAGTTAGATCAGATACATCATAATACACCCTTTTAACAAGTTCTGAAAAACAGACTGCATTTTCCTCAATGTTAAAAATATAGACAGACAATCTGTGAAGGGAGCCAATGGCCCTTGCTAGCTGCATCCACAAAGCCAATTTATCTCCTTTTTGTGCTTTCCATGACAATTTCTGTTTTATGAAGCTTTCTGCAGCCAACCTGCCTGATTATGATCATGGTTTCTCTCTTGGCTAACATCCAGGGAAACAGCACGAGAAGATAAAACATCAGGCATTCTCCTTTGTCCTGTGGTTTTAACTCCTCAGGTACTGTTTCCTGCAAATAAAAGAAAAACAATTTATAGAAATACAAAATAAAATTCTCAAAGGAATCAATGTAAACATGAGGAATACATTTTTCATGCAGTGAGTGTTTAGGGTCTGTAATAGACTACTTGGCAGCATGGGGGAGGCAGTTTAATCGAAGCATTCAGGAGGGAATCTGATCATTACTCGTAACAGAAGAATGTTCAGGATTACAAAGAGAAGGTGGGAATGGTGCTTAGCTATTTGTTTATTTGGAGGGCCAGCACAAACACAAAGGGCCAAATAGTCATCTTTGCCATAACAATTCGGTGATTCTGAGAAGTTAAAAGTTTTGTCACATGCAAACATCCACTGCATTACAGATTTTCTAAAGTATTATCAAATAAAAGTCTTACGTCAAAAGGCAACACTTCAACCGTGGTGTTGAAGAGCTTGTCACCTGGGTGCTCGATATTCCCACTGCGAAAGAAAAACCTGAGAACAGAACAAAGAAAGGTTGGATGTACAAGTAGGAAAGTCATGCAGACCAGACCAAGTGACAGTTGTACCAAAACTCACCATTCTGGCAATCACTAGCATGATCAAATATGCCACAGCGCTCTTCCTCTAGAGAATCAGTATAAACCTCTCCAAGGTCATGCAGAGGCAGCAGTAACCCAGCAAAAGACAAGAAGCCCCTTTCCTTTATCAGGATCTCGTTTTCCACTCACTATCCCTGGAGGTGCTTAAGTGTCTATTTAAACAACAGTTCATTAACTATGTTGCAAACAGCACAAGGCTGAAATCACATTCAACATAACTTGCTTTGGCTATCTCTGTTTCTCATTCAGGTGGAAAGAAAGCAAAAGTGACCAAGACAGTGTCAGACTGCAAATAGAAGATACAAAGTGGGTTATGTCAGTGATCAATTGCCCAGTATTCCAGAGTGGTTGTAATTCTTAGGATCTGGGGGTTTGTGGCAAGGTTGGCATTCAATGTTTATCCTCATTACCCTGAGAAGATGGTGGCGAGTTTTGTTCCTCAATTTTAATTAGCTTGCCCATTGTTTGGCTTTTGTATTTCTAGCCTAGTAGATCACAGGTTGCCACCTGTCATAATCTTGCTGGCTTCTCCACTTGGAAAAATGTGCTGATTCTCGAGTCCCACCACTCCTGGGGTCACCACAAAAGTGAATGGTTTAATCAATGTATACAAAGTACCTAATTTATTTATCCGATGGATTCAGCTTACAGAAAACCCTGACCAAGTTCTTGAACTTAACAAGACTTGTTATTCGTTACAAATAAATATGTTCTAGCTGCAGGTAAATAAAACTATGAATTATCAACATAGAACTCTACTAGTTGAAACTCTAACCCTTTTTAAACCTACATATAGATGGATACAAACAGAAAAAAACATTTACTAAGGAAACACAAATGAGTAGCACCAGTGCACAAAATGCGACGAGATGTTCCTTTGCCTTCCCTGATTTTTTTGTGTTCTCTGATCTTCTCTATATTTTTTCGCTTCTTTCAGGAAGCCCAGACAATTGGTACACTAATTATAAAGGTGTCTTAAATTCCTAGTTAAAAATAACAGCTTACAGAAACTGGTGGGACAAAATAACCGGCTTTCTTCAGACACTTTTACTGCAGAAAAGTAGAGAGACAGTCTGCTTCTCCTAGTCTAAGAACTTCTGCCCCTTTATCGTTCACACGCTCCAGCTGTTCAGCTGCTCAAGAACCAGAGACTGATCATCAGACTGATGACCTCTGGCATCTACAACTGCACAAACCAATCAGCACTTGGTTACTGGCCAAATCTCAGTCTGCACACACACACACACACACCTTTGTGCTGTGCTGTCTTACGTCAACACCCCACCTGCTTGTGAAGCAACTGTGTAAACACAACTCACAAGGAGTTGCAGTAACCGTCTTCAAAGTGTAGCAATTCCTTTCATGGTCTGTGGTTTTTCAACAGTTCTTTCCCATTTTAACCACAATCAAAAATAAAGGAAACCAAAAGACACAGTCTTTACAACCTGTGATAAAAACTTGCATTGTGTCAAGTACCACAAGCCAGTTTCAATTCGACTACTTGTTGAAATCTCACAGGGAATCAAATTCTGAAACAATTATTTAAACTATTGCATGCAGCAACCAAAATAAGACCCCTTGAAGAAATAAATTAAGTCTCACAACCTAACTCGCTGTTACCCAATTAATGGTGGAATTTAGCTATGAATTTGTCGGTCTCTGGATGTGTCCAGGGTTCAATCCTTCTGCAATGTTGCTCTTCGAAGTTCTGTTGCTGAAGAGTCTGAGTCCAGTTCTTATACAGTTTTCTCTCTTTCATATTTATGGTGTGATATTATTGCTGGTCCTTTAGATTCTTTCATCCCCAACACTGATTATATTTCTGGAATCCTCAAGTCCGCAGCTTGTCTTTTTATCAGAAGTAACTTTCCTACTCCTTGTCACATGTGGCGTTTACTGTCTGTTTAAAAACACAACTTTCCTACAATTAACCCCTTTACCTCAAGGCATTCCTTCTGCAGGCAGTCTTAATTTGTCACAAGGCAGCAGATTATCAAGCAATGTTATCTCATATCTCCCAGGAAACAGCTTGTTTATCTTACTTCAAATCCTCCTTCCCAGGGATGGTTAATTAGCATGCTGCTTTTAATTCCTTTATAATAGTTTTTTCTTGACCCTTTCATCGCAAGAAACAGTTTGTTCCAGAAAGGGTTATTGCTGATTCTTTCAATCCATGAAGTTATTAAAGTTCTGAAGTTTACACTATCACACTTGCTGCTCTTTTTTTCATCCCCTACACCCTCCTCTCCAAGCCCTAAGGCTTCTGGCTTCTATCAACACCACCACATACTTCCATCATTACCAGATACCAGCATCATTCCAAAAACCCTGCTCCAATTCTCTCTGTGTGGTAACTACATTTACAACCAGCTCAGGAAGAGGATTGGTGAAGACTGAAGCCAAATCAAACCCTCAACGTCAATTTTATTTTTGGTGTTTTCATAATGGTCACATTGTAAAAGAAACAAAGTTACATGTGTAATTTCAACTTCTTCCTAATTTTCTACAAGCCATCAGTAGGTATCATGCTCACTTCCAAAGTGAAAAGTTTGACTTACAAATCTCAATACAGCCTGTAATAGAGTACAGTCTACTTGGTATGTGAAATTAGATTTAATGGGCGGGGCTGTATTAACTTGGCTACTCCTGTACCATAGCCCACATTTTCTTTCCATTAATTCCAAGGGCTGTGGACTTGAAGGGATATGGATGACAACTGGTTTCATCAATTAACACCACATCTGACTGGATCACATGAAGGCAGAGCCCAATAGTGCTTATCTCCCAAAGGTACTCACTAATCCAAGAGTATCTTAAAATGCAAGGATAATCCCCGGCCTGTTTCTTTCAACCTTGTTGTTAAACATCTCTTCCAACTCCTGTACCTCACCTCTAACATGCTGGAAGAGCTTATAGATTTCTCTGCCATTAAGACTGCGACCATCTGATCAACACCTTCTGTTACTGATCTCAGCCACTGAGTCAAAGGTCCTCCAAGGGTCTCCCTAGCTCTCGGCCTGAAGCTGCATTATCCTCTAGTCCTTGTCCTATCTCCAAAATCATTTTGTCCTTAAGTAACATCCACCCCACCATGTTCTTCAATCTTATTCACACTAAAGCATGGATCACAACTTCCCTGTTTCCATGTCCATAAATACTGTCCAACTCTTCTGCTGCTGACACCCTCATCCATGCCTTTGTTATCTCAAGATGGAGACTAATCCAAAACACTCCTGGCAGCTTTCTGTTATAATCTCCATAAGGGGTCGGTTAGCTCAGTTGGCTGGACAGCTGGTTTGTGATTCAGAATGATGCCAACAGCAGAGGTTCAATTCCCACTGCGGCTGAGGTCACTAAGTCCCAGCTTCCCAACCTCACCTCTCACCTGAGGTGTAGTGACCCTCAGGTTAAACCATAACCAATCATTTCTCTCTAATGAAAGAGAAGCCCTCTGGAACTATGACAACTTTACCTTTTCATCTCCACAAACTTGAGCTCATTCTAATATCTACTGCCTGCATTCTTACTCGTGGTGTGTTTTATTCATTCACCATCCCTGTGTTTGCTGACCTTTGTTGACCCAGATTAAGCAAATCTGTAATTTAAAAATTCTTATTCTCCTTTTAAATCCATTCATGCTCTTGCTCCATACTATCTGTAGTCTTCTCCATCCCGAGAGTAGTCCTGTCAATCTAGCTTCTTTTAATCACTCCAATTTAGCTGCTGTAGCTTAAGCTGTCAAGACCCCAAGCTCTGGAATTCCCATCCTAAACCTCTCCAGCTTTGTCCCTCAAAAACTCTCCTTAACTTTCCACGCTCCATGAAACCCTTCCCTTTGAATAATCACTCGCTAAAATATCACTATATGGCTCAGTGTCAAATATTGTTCAATGACAGCCCTGTGAAATGACTTGGGATGGTGTTATATTCAAGGTGCTCTATAAATGCAAGATGGTGTTATACAGAGCATTGGATCTACTTTAAGTTCTAACCCACCTGTCCACTTTCACTGGCGTAAAAAATCTGAAACGTATAAAATCACCAGCCACGGGGGTGAAAGCCCAGAAGAAGTCCTCTCCCAGGTAAGCCTTTTCCAGTGTAAAATGCTGGTATGTTTTCAGGCTGGAAGTTACCTCCGCTGGGGGATTGGAATGTCCTTTGTGCAAGGCATGTTTTCCAAAATCCTTATCCTGGGAAAGACAACATTGATTTGCTTGATTAGTAAGATATAGTGACATCCTGAGACCTTCAGTGCTGATCCTTGCAATGTACTGGGGTAGGCAGTGACGTACTGAAAACTGTGCTAAATTCCATTAATAAATTGAAAACCAAAAACAAACAAATACAGTAAGAAGGATAAAAATCCAGTCAGATTTATTCATCAGATTAGATTGTCAAGATATCTTTAAGCATATTAGAGGAGTTGTTTTTCAGCAATTTTCTGTGCCCTGACTGTGTCCAATATCCTGCCAAACATTTGTCGCTCAATCAACGTCTGAACCAGATTATAAAAGTAAAACACTGCAGGTTCTGTAAAATAAACAAACATTGAAAGTGCTGGCACTGCTTAACACGTCAGGCAATTTTTTTTTTTGCCGAGAGCAGTGGAACTTTCAGGTCCATGACTGCTTACCAGCAGATGATCTAGTCAGTTATTTAATTATTTGCAGAAGATAGCTGCAAGTAATTGCCATCGTTTTTTCCCTGTATCATAACATACACAATAATAGTTTGGCCGTGAAGCACGATGGGACATCAAGATGCTGAATACTGTTACATAAAAACATGTTTCTTTTCATTGAAGTACAGTGACTTGTGACATAAATTTGCGAACAGCAATGACCAGTTTATCACTTTCTATTAGCGTTTTGCTGAAGGACAAATGATTGATAGGAAAAAGAAAACCCTCTCATTTACAGAGATTAGTGCCCAAGAACGCTGGCCCACACACATACTGGAACAGGTTTATTGTTTGCTGTAAAGCATAGATCCCTCCCTTTAATCTTAATTTACTGTAAATAACAAGGGCATTCCAAGTAAAGTATTAGCCAATGCTCGATGGTATTGCACACGGAGAGTTTAAACCAAGTGTAGTCTTCAGGCACAATGAGGCCAGACGTATAAATGGACCAGGAAATACTGGTGTATTTCAGACTTGAAAGGTAAATGTTCTGCCCTCAGGATTCCCAGGTTCAAATGTATAATGAAAACCTGCCATCTTTTCCCACCACCCCAGCAGTGGACATGTGGAGAGTATATTTGTAATTAGTCAATTTTGTTATACTTATTTCAAATCAACGCGGCCTTTTTTTTTTAAAAAAAAAGTTTTTTGGAAAAAGGCTGAAAGCAATGAAATGCATTTTAGATAAAATTAATTCATACAGCAGAGGGAAAATACTTACAAAGCTTTGGGGAAAACAGCAGTCTCAGGTATTCCTAGTATCAGCTGTGTAACAACACAATGTCCAGCCTACATAATATTTCATCAGACTTCAGATCCACTATATAAACTATTTGATTCAATCTCTTTGAAAATAACATACCGATGTATTCATAATTTTGTGCCAATACTTAAAACAAAAATGATTTTGTTTGCCATTGCATTTTTTCAGCAAAGATTTGCATAAAAAGACGTTACCTTGAAGTAAGAAGTTGGACATATTCAGTAACTCTTTCAAAGAACTGAAATGTACAAAAAGGGCCAAATAGCCCTCTTCTAGATAAACCTAGATCTTCTAGATCATAGAATCATTGAATCCCTACAGTGTGGAAAACAGGCCCTTCAGCCGAACAAGTCCACACCAACCCTTGGAGCATCCCACCCAGACCCATTCCCCATAACCCACCTAAGCTACAAAGCCCTGAACACGACGGGCAATCCACCTAATCTGCACATCTTTGGACTGTGGGAGGAAACCGGAGTACCCGGAGGAACTCCACGCAGACACGGGGAGAATGTGCAAACTCCACACAGACAGTCGCCCGAGGGCAGAATCGAACTCGGGTCCCTAGCGCTGTGAGGCAACAGTGGTAATCACTGAGCCATTGTGCCGCCCTGTGCTGTAAGATTCTACAACACAATTTATATACCTGTAACATTTTAGGAATCAAGGTTTATCTGAAAGCTACTATCCTTAGATTTGAGGTACATGCACACTTTTGATTCATACATCTACATTTTCACCTACATCAGCTGTGGCTCAGTGGATAGCCTGACTCTCCCTTCTGTCTCAAAAGAATGGGCTTAAGCCCCACTGCAAAAACTTCAACACAATCTAAATTAGCATTCACAATTCTGCAGTACGGAAATACTGCACTGTTTGAGGTGCCATCTTTCAGATGAGGCATCAAGGCCAAAGCTCCACCTGTTTTTTCAGATGGATATAATAGAATAATGGCAATACTGGAAGAAATTCAGGGGAGTTCTCCCTGATTCCCTGAGCTAATATATATCCCTCAACTAACATCACTAAACAACAGACTATCAGATGACAAATCACACTGATGTTTGTGGGACCTTGCTGTGTGCCAATTAAATGTCACGTTTCCTACACTGTGATAATAGCTCTAATCCAAAAGTTTTTATTTAGATATAAAATACTTTGGGACGTTGAGGTCATGAAAGGAGCTGTGTAAATGTGAGTTCTTTTTTCAGGATTTTTTGCCAGCTACGAAATACAAATACTACTTACAGAGCATAAAGAACGAGACTGAAATAAGTCACATCAGGTTTGAGGTCAAGTGCATTGATGTCCCATGAGGAGTAATGAAGTAAAATCTTGTTAAACATTGAAAAAACTGCTTTGTTATTTTTGATGATGAGCTAACAGGTTCTACTTCACTTAGAGTTAGAGTCATACAGCATGGAAACAGACCCTTTGGTCCAATTAGGCCATGCCTACCACGTTCCCAAACCAAACAAGTCCCACCTCCCTGCTGTGTATTTTCTTATGAGCTCATAAATGTTTTATCTTCAACACAAAATACTTCCCAAATTGGGTAAAATACAAAACAATATGTACAAGCTTACTGATGGAGTTTGATGAAGCTGGATGGAGTGAACTGGTTGGGCTGTTCAATTACTGTAAGCACTTAGGCTCCGTGTATGTTGCATGTTCCCATAGTTTACAAGAAGCTGCAGTGCCAGCAGGGTTACTGAAGGTGGTGCTGCTGAACTACTAAGAGAGACTAATCTAATCTCTGATGCAGTCGATACTACAGCAAGTAGCTATGTTGGTGCAGTCCATAATTTATGTTGTGTAGATGTGAAATTTTTGGCTATGGCAGATAAAGGACCAGCATAAAAACTCCATGAGCTGCCAACAATATGAACAATTGTTTCTCACATTCAACCCCTCAAACTTGCTTGTTGCTCGTGTCTCTTGGCAATAATTGTTTAGGCCCTTTTTCCTGCATTGTCCCTGTCCCTCACCATCATCATGTTAAAACATATAAAGTTCTTAATCAATTTGACAGAACAGATGCTAAAATGCTAGGTGAAGCCTACTTGAAGCTGTGGCCTATAGGGCTATGGACTGAGTGTTGGTAGATGAGATTGGTTAGGATGGGTGGTTCCTCAGAATTGAGAAAAGGTCAGAATGGCCTCCTTCACTGTTATAATTCTTTCATGATTTCCATTAAATTGCTTCCCCCTCAGTGATGAGTCTAGAGCTGGGGATGGTCAACACAATGTGTCAGCCCTTTAGGACCATTTTTGAGGAAATGTTTCCTCACTGTACTGTAGGATTGCAAATCTTTGGAATTTCTTGACCCCAGAGAGCTCTGCATATTCATTGAATAGGCTAAAGATACAGATCAACAGATATCTTTGACAGCAAGGAAATCAAGGAAAATAGGGTTGGGCAGGAAAACTGAATTGTAATAGAGTAGCCATTATATATGGAGGATAATTAATTAATAATTAATTGGGATACAATCTATAAAGAGGCCAAACACAGCTTGGATATTAAGAGTCTAAATTGGGTACAGGACCAGAGGGATCTCTAGAGATCTTTATGATCAATACAGGGTTGGATTAGATAGATGTAGAGATGTTTTCACTTGGAAGTGCAGACTAAAACAAGAGGGCATAAACATTTGTCACTAATAAATTGAATGGTGAATTCAGGAGAAATATCTTGAACCAGAGACTGATTACAATGTGGAACACACTACCACAGGGGGTAGATGACATGGATAGCATTCATAAACTCAAGGGTAGATGTACCGGTACATAAGAGAGGAAGAAACAAAAGGGTATACTGATACAATAATTCTAAGAGAGGTGAAAGGAGGCTTCTGTGAAGCATTGTTTTATGCATTCAAAGGATGTTGCATCATTGGCTAGGTCAACATTTATTGCTTAACTCTAGTTGTCCCTGAAAAGGCAGAGGTGCAGATGCACCCTGTTGGGGTGGGGAGTTCTGTCAACATCAGCATGAATGGGCCAAATGGCCTGTTCCAATGCTATTAACGGGACATAACTCGTTAGCAGGGTTATGCAATCAAACAGGGCAAGATGAGAGCTAGGATATACATTCATCACACTCTAAATGAATGACATAAGGGGCTAAATCACCTTCCCCCTCCCTCCGTTCTTGCGTTTAATTTCAGCCCTTCTCCTACATGAGACATTTTATTCCCAGGCACTAACTTGGGAGTTGGGCACCCAGTTGCTGAACTTACTTTTAATTTCTGGATCTTTCCGGCCAGTGATGAGTGTGTTCCAACATGTTGAAATAGGGACGGCTTGAAACGGATTCGGAGGTTTGCCTTCTGTCGGTCACAGTGCTTCTAAAAGGGGTAAGAGAGAGAAAAGTAAACCAGTTACCATTGCACCAAGATATTTGCCGGTTGACAATTATTGAGCCGCAAGATTTTTCCTACCAAATCAAAACAGAATAAACGCCACAGATGATGGAGTGAGCTAATCTAATTAAAATCTGAAATGGAAATTGCAGATTTTTTCCAATCCTCTTGGAAATGGTGTCAGACCACAGGAGGATTGAAAATATTTTAAAAAAAAGAGCTGAGGGCCAAACTGAAAACTACAGGCCACAGTCAGCCTAATGTCACAGAGCCACAGAATTGTTACAGTGCAGGTGGCCATTTGGCCCATCACGTCAGCTTTAGCTCTCCTAAAAGCAGCTCACTTAATGCCATTCTCCTGCCTTCTCCCCATTAACCTTTACATGGATCTTTTTAAATAACAGCCTGATTCCCTTTTAAATGTCAAGAGGGTGAAAACATTTTGGAGATGTTAATCAATAAAGCATCTAGAAAAATTCAAGGTGATAAATTAAACTATAAAATGTCGTGACCATTTTGTCCCATACCCCCATACGTAGAGTCGTAGAGGTATATAGCATGGAAAGAGGCCCTTTGGCCCTACTCATCCATGCCGGCCATGTTTCTTAAACTGAACTAGTTTTATTTGCCTGCATTTGGCCCATATCTCTTTGAACCTTTTCTATCCATGTAACTATCCAAATGTCTTTTATATGTACCACTTGCTCATAATTCTGCAGAGGAGCAGATTGGATGATAATTTGTTTCAAATATGGCTACAATTTCACTGGCTCAGAAGGCAAAAATTTACCCAAGGCAGGACAATACCTAGCTATAGTTTCCATCCAAAGTGGTCAGACAAGTCTTGGTTAGACCATTTGGTTCACTCAAAATAAAATGGAGGCTGGGAGCCAATGGAACGAGAGGAGTTTTATCTTTGTAACAGATAGCACTTCGGTGAGAACCTATTTAGTATATGCGTACATTAATAGTGTTTCAAACAATTTTGAAAATTCACATTAAATTTTCGACTGTTATTAAAAAAAACTCCAATAGGAAGATTGGTTTTGCAGCCACCAACCGAAAAACCAATATGCAGAAAATTAACTGCAAAACTGAAATGGGATGAAGAAGGTTCCTCACGATATGCAAAGGATGGGGTTCTGTTTCAGCCAGAAGATCACAGATTGGGGTTAGTGGAAATCATCTTTACACATTTTCACAGAGAATTCACCTGACAGATATCGTAAATCACTCTAGGTATAAACTGAAAGAAATAACTTGTATTAACATAATGTTTTCATGACTTCAGTACCTCCCAAAGCTTAACAGACACTGAAATATTAGTGTCCCTACCTCTGGACCAGAATATCCAAGTTCAAGTCCCACATGCTCCAGAGGTACGTAATAACAAAAAGGGACTTTTGTGGCATAGTGGCAGTGTCCATTCTCTGAGCCAGGATGCCTGGGTTTATATTTCAACTGTAGTGCAGTGGTAGAGTCCATATCTCTGGACTATAGGGTCCAGGTTCAAGTCCCACCTGCTGCAGGGGTCTGTCAATAACATACCTGAATAGCATGATTAAAAAATATCTTTAAAAGGAGAATTTTGCATGAACCATTTGGTTTTATATTTTTGGTATCTCACCAGGGGCTAACATGTTAAATTATTATATAAAAAGAGTACAAAGGGAAAGTGGTGGTAGCACTACACTACAAACATCCAGAGCCCAATGTAATAATATTAACCAGAAAATATGTTATTTAGTGAATCATTTTGATGACCACCTAACATGGTAGATGGGGACTCAGTTTAGCATCTCACCTGAGAGGTAGTACTTCTGACAGTGTGGCACTTCCTCAGTACTATACTGAGCATGTTCACTTGAATCATTGTGGACAGGTCATTGGAGTGGGAATTGAACCCAATGAGAATGAAAGCATCACCCAATGAACCACAGTTGGTAGCAATGTAGTATAGCATGCAACATGAGAAAACTTGGGGAAGAAAACATGTAGGATTGAGGATCTAACTTGTCAACATCATAGTTTCTAGATGTGCTCAGTATGGATAAACAGGATGGTGTGCATCAGTTTTATATATTTTCACATATTGTGCACAAAGACCATGCATCAGCAGGACCGGTACAAAATGCACCGATATTAAATTCCCCCTTAGGTACACACCCACCATACTGGTGATATGCCTTGGGTGCCAGCTGTCCTCAGCCACCAATCTCCATGTACAGAAGATAGCTGAATACAGGAAGACTAGAAAACTGTGTGGGAGAGAGGGAGAGAATCACGAGTACATGTTATCCTGCCCCAGGCAGTAACACTCACTAACTGAGCTAGCAGCAAAGCTGAATCTAAATGTTCCATTCATTATTTTAAGCACAAAGCATTGTAATTCCAATCCTCTGACAAACTCATGATTTCAAATAGTATTTAAAAAATGGCTCTGTAATTCACATCCCCCTGCCACTTCAATCTGTCCCTTCATTGCAGATATATGCACATGATTCCCAGTCAGCGCTAATGAGAATGAATGTTTCAGTAAATGATGAAAAGTATCAAGTGGATGAATATTAGACTGAAATTAGATCACAGAAATGCCAACTGACTCTACAGTATAAACCCAGCTCTGAACAGCTCACATACATCAAAGATTCAACATAAAAAAAGTTTTCATCAATCTGCTCCGACACACAGTCAAAGAAAGCAAAGATGTAGTCCCCTCCACCCGCTAATCTGCTTCCGAGTATCAGAAGTAAACCACTCTGAATAGAGGTCCTTCATAATGCCAGCTGCAGCTCAGTGGATACTTCTCCCATCTTTGAATTAGAGGGTTGTGGGTTCAAATCCCTCCTCCTTGAGAATATAACCCAGACTGATACTTCATTAGCAAGGGTGCACTGCACGTATTCTCAAGAAGAGTAGGGTTAATCTGCTCCATGTCCCACTGCACTCTGTAGGATCTTGCTACATATACAATTCTTGCCATGTTTCCCCATATTAAAGAAATTTGACTTTGAGGCCAGGAGATCATCGAAGCCACTATAGAAATACAAGTGTTTCTTTGCCTTTAAATTACTCATAGGTTGCTACACTTGGCCTTACTAGCATCTTTCAGTAAAAGGTAGTGAAGTTATCTGTACATCAATTCAAAAATATTTATCTCTCCATGTAAATGCAGAGTATAATGCAGACACAACAGCTGTTACAGTAGGACCTTGCAACCAGAAGCAGTCTTACAGGTTTCTCTGGTGGCAGATTGGCAGTTGCGGTTCTCTTCCCATCAGCTGACTCTGCAAATAAAAACAGAAATTGCGGTAGGAACTCAGCAGGTTTTGCAGCATCTATGGAGAGAAAGCAAAGTTAAAGTTTCAAGTCTGGTGACACTTCATCAGAACAGACTCAAAAATATTGACTCTGCTCTCTCTCCACAGATGCTGCCAAACCTGCTGAGTTTCTCCAGCAATTTTTGTTTTTGTTTCACATTCTCAGCATCTGTAGTTCTTGGTTTATTTGTGCCCCTGCAAACACACTGGTTTCACCAAAACTATTGGTCCATGAGCCTGCTGCTGGGTTGTTGCTGCCTGCTTCAGAACATCAAATAGAGAACGAGACAATCAAACACAATTTAAGGCCTCTACAACATGAAGTAGAGCCCAGATATAACAGTTCACCCCTGTAGCATATTATCTAAACTCCTGCTACCCTTAAACTTAATTTGCATGATGTCCCATTCACTCAGCACCTCACCACTGACCTTCTGGTTTCTAGTCCATAAACACCGCTATTTTAAAATTGTCATCTTTGTTTTCAAAGTCCCCCCAACCCTCCATCTCTAAGTTCCACCAGGCTAACCACTCTCCAAGATCTCTATACTCCTCCAATTCTCTTTCTTGTGCTTCCCAATTTTAACTGGTCCACCATCGGTAGCTGTGTTTTCCAAATGCTTAGGTCCCGAAGTTCTGGACTTTTCCCCCAAACCTCTTCAACGTCTCTTCCTTTAAGACCCTTTATCTGTTTAATACTCACTCAGAAATAGTAAGAACTGCAGATGCTCGAGTCAGAGATAACACAGCATGGAGCTGGAGGAACACAGCAGGCCAGGCAGCAGAGGGACAGGAAAGTTGATGTTTCGGGTCGGGACTTTCTGAAGAAGGGTCCCAACCCGAAAAGTCAACTTTTCTGCTCCTCTGATGTTGCCTGGCCTGCTGTGTTCCTCCAGCTCCACACTTATCTGTTTAATATCGGCTTTCTTGATCAAGCTTTTCAACGACTGTCCTAATACCACATGTGGCTCAGCGTCAAATTAATGGTCTGTGAAGCGTCTCGGAATGTTTTATTATGATAAATGACCAAACACAAGTTAATGTGCTTGCTGCAGTGGTCTCAAGATGAAGATTTTTGAAATGAGACAAAAGAATGAAGATGCTTACACATTATACATAAAGCCTTCACTGCTGGCTCAATTCCCAACAAATCCTACTAATGCCTTAAAGCTCTTATTAGCAACTATTTGTCTATCTCATAAGCTTTAGAGATAATTATCTCTAACTTTATCCACTGCAGATTCCTGTCCTGCATTCTACAGCTTATATGTCCAACTATTGTTGCTCAACTTCCCTTTCTGGAGCCTCAACAAAAATACATTGTTAACTACCAGCCAGCAAGACGACTATGGGATAATGGATTGGATGGTGAAGTGTCCAAAAGGTACGAGGATTAGTTTCTGAGGTTTCTCTCTCTATCCAAGAACCAATCTCCTCCATTTCAAAGCAATCATCACAATAAGTGAAGTACTCTCAACCCTCTGCCCTTGTGAACTAACCCCATTCCTTCCCTCTTTCTCTGCAAATTCCATCCAATCTTTGCCTCCCAACATTGATTCAAGCCAATATCACAGTATGATGGAAGAATGTCAAGGTCTCCCAGTGTTGCGGTGTTTTCTTTTCAGTTTTTGAAAACAAAGGCAAAGTAGGATTTTTTTTGCCTTTTGTAATTGGTTATAATTGCATTCTTTAAATTTCTTCTTCACAAAAAAATTAATGTCTTACTGTTTACTGGCTAATATTATTCTCGCAATCAAGTGGGACTTGTTTAGTTTGGGATTACGTTCAGCACGAACTGATTGGACTGAAGGCCAAGCAGCATCATAGGAGCAGAAAGGCTGACGTTTCGGGCCTAGACCCTTCATCAGAAACAGGCCCGAAACGTCAGCCTTTCTGCTCCTGATGCTGCTTGGCCTGCTGTCTTCATCCAGCTCTACACCTTGTTGTCTCGGATTCTCCAGCATCTGCAGTTCCTACTATCTCTGATTGGACTGAAGGTCTGTTTCCGTGCTGTATGACTCTATGGCCAAAAACTGGTCAACTCAATCTTGCTTCTGTTTGTAAAATCATGGAATGATACAGTCAGGGTGACATCATTCAGCTCTGATGTGGAGATGCTAACACGTGAAGGAGGAGTAAGACTCCGAAGGCTTGTGTTTTCAAATACACCTGTTGGACTATAACCTGGTGTTGTGTGATTTCTGACATCATACAGCTCATTGTTCCTGTGCCAGCTCTTTGAAAGTGATTCAATTAGTCCTAGTCCCCCATTCTTAGCTGTAACCTTGCAAATTTATCCGAGTGCGAAATCTATTATTGAATCTGCTTCTACTACAGTTTCCAGCAGTGTGCCCATAACTTTGGGCAAGGCAATGGCTTAGTGTCCTGGGGGGCCAAGTTTGAATCCCACCTTCAGTCGCATTTGAATTCAATAAAAATCTGGAAGACCATGAAACCATTGTCAATTGTGGAGAAAAACCCATTTGGCTCACTAATGGAAATCTGCCTTCCTCACCTGATCTGACCTACCTGTGACTCCATCCCCACAGCAATGTGGTTGATTCTCAATCATCTCTGAAATGGCCTAGCAAGCCACTCCGTTGTACCAATCACTACAAAGTCTCAATCAAGAAATGAAACCAGATGGACCACCTGACATTGACCTAGGCACTGAAAAAGACAACACTGTCAACCCTACAAAGTCCTCCTTACTAACATTTGGGGACGAGTGCCAAAATTGGGAGAGCTGCCTCACAACAGCCTGACATTGTCTGTAAGGTATGATTCTGTGACTATGACTATGTCCCAGACACCACCATCACCATTCCAGAGGTGAGGAGAGAGACATCAAGACTGCATTCGACTAGATTAGGCATCAAGGAGCCAAAGCAAAACTGGAATCAATGGATTCTGGGGCAAACCATCCTCTGGTTGGAGTCATACTTGATACACGGGAAGATGGTTGTGGTGGTTGGAGGTCAGTCAACTCAGTTCCAGGATATCTCTGCAAGAGTTCCTCAGATGTAGTATCCTAGGCCCAACCATCTTCAGCTGCTTCAACGACTTTCCCTCCATCATCAGGTCAGAAGTAGAGATGTTTGCTGATGAATCCTCAAATACTGAAGCAGTCATGTTCAAATGCAACAAGATCTGGACAATATCCAGGCTTTGGCTGACAAGTGGCAAGTAATATTCGCACCACACAAATATGAGGCAATGACCATCTCCAATAAGAGACAATCTAACCATTGTTCCTTGATATTCAATGGTGTTATCATCACTAAATCCCACACTATCAATATCCTTCGGTATAGTATTGACCAGAAACTCAACTGGACTTGTCACATAAACACAGTGGCTATAAAAGCAGGTCAGAAGCTAGGAATACTGTGATGATTAACTTACCTCCTGACTCCCCAAAGCCTTCACTATTATAAGGCATAATCAGGAGTGTGATGGAATATTCCCCACTTGTCTCGATTGTTGCAGCTCCAACAACACAAGAAACTTGACACCATCCAGCACAAAGCAGCCTGTTTGATTGTTTGTAGATGTGGTACCATTCACTCCCTCCACCACCAACGCTCAGCAAAATGTGGTATGCTTAGATAGCACTTTCAAACTGACAACCACTTCTATTTAGAAGGACAAGGGCAGCAGATATATGGGAACACCACCACCTTCAAGTTTCCCTCCAAGCCAATCATCATCCTGACTTGGAGGTATATCGCCATTCGTTCACTGTTGTTGGGTCAAAATCCTGGAATTCCCTTGGCAACGGCACTGTGGGTCAACCTACAGTGGACTGCAGCAGTTTAAGAAGGCAACTCACCACCATCTTCTCAAGGGCAACTAGGGAGGGGCAATAAATCCTGGCCCAGACAGTGAGGTCTACACATGAATAAAAATAACTTGATATATTTTTTAAAAATCCATCAACCCATCACTTGTGCACAAAGTGGCCTCTGTTAAAGTCCAGTTCAATTTTATAACTGCACTCACTCTGCTTCAACGTTCACTGTGCATGAAGTTCTTTAAGATACTAGGCTCTTTATTTGCATATCTAATTGAGGATGATTACCCAAAATGTGCAAATGAGGGATTATAAATTGAGGAAAGTCAAATAAATAAGAACGTCTGTGCTCATCTCCCACAGTGAGAATACACAGATTACCATTAATTACCTACTGCTGAGTTAGTCACCATGTGCAAGGTTTTAAAACAGTGCAGATTCAATTTGAATGCAAATTACTTTAGGGAGTCTGGTGCTGACTTGATTAAGAAACATTTCTTATGTGGAAAGTAATGGATAGCATTAAAAATCATGCAAATCTCGATAGTGCCTCAAACAAAAATTTACCTTGTTGCTTACAGGTAGCATAAGATTGTAGTTTCCTTCCTTCTCATTTTGCAGTAAGAGGCCAGTCGTCCCATCAAGACTATTTTGCCATTCAATGAAAATCATGGCTGATCTGATCATCCTCAACTCCATTTTCCTGCCTTTTCCCCATAACCCGATTCCTTACTAATTAAAAATCTGTCCATCTTAACCTTGCACAGTTAGTGACCCAGCCTCGACGGCCATCAGTGGGAAAGAATACAACTTCTTGGTGCAGACTCCATCCAGTTGAATAGTTTGGGGAGAACCAAAGCACTCAATTTTAAGTTGTATAAGGTTGGATCTTTGGTGTAAATTTCACCAGCTACCACCCCTGCCAAGAGAATAATGGCCTTTTGGAACAGGTTGCCATCTTGTGCAAAGGACTCCAAATTGAAGAACTGAACTAGATTGAATTCCAGCTGATATCGGCATCCTCTGTTACAAAAGGGCAGGTACTTCAGAGAATTTAGGAACCACAGTGATCTCCCAGACTATATCATCCAAATGGGCCATAATAACCTCTAAGATTTGCCCAGCCCACAAGTTGTGTTGGGTTTTTGAACTGTGGTTTGCCAACTCTCCCAAGAGGCCGCGTGATGTTTGGGTCGGGTAAGGAGAATCAATATTGTGATGCTCAAGAGATCACAGTTATGTGGGTGGGATAGATTGATTGGACCAAGAGTGTCTTTACCAGTCTATGACTGTTTGTGGTAAAACATACTATGAATAAATCCTTCAGGAGAGGAAAGCTAACAAATGGAGAAGAAGGGGTTGCATGGAGACAAGGAGGACAAATCTGGTTCTGTAAACTCTGACAATGTTCTACTTACTGCGTCCTTTTCTGGGTTACAGACTTTAACCCATAGAACGTGGTCTAGCAGCCAATCGATGGGCTTGTCCTTGTAGAACATCAAAATAAACTCCACAATCAGACTTAGATCCAGTGATTTGAACATTTTTCCTAGACAAAATAAAGCAAAGTACTGTGAAAATCTAGTATTTTTACTTAGTAAACATGAGTTACATGACTAAAAGAGAACTTGATTATTATCTGAAAAGAACCGTGGGGACATGTGCAGTGTGACATTAGATGAATTGCTTCTTCAGAGAGCTAAGATACACACAATGGGCCAAATGGCCTGATTCTCCATTGTAAACATTCTGTGTTTCTGTAATCATGCAGAGCCAATTTTTAACATCGTGGAGCTGGTACATGTGCCATGTGATATTTAGAAGGTACTTGGTTAGAGAAACATCAGTCTCCTGAGCATTACAAATAAATTCATTTTCTGAATGTGTTTGACACAAATTCAAACTCAACACAACATTCTGGAGTTCTCTCTCGATACTGTACTGCAGTTTCAGCCTTTATGTTTGTCAAGCCCAAAACCTTAGAAATGTACTAAATTGCTGCAGCGTGTGATCAGGAAAGAAAGAAAAATGATCATGTGGATATATTAGGGCTTGACCAAAGATTTGGTCAAAACAGCTGGAGTTTAAGAAGCTCCTTAAAGGAGGAAAGGAGGCAGAAAGGTTCAGGGAGTGGATTCCAGATGTTACACTCTAAGATATAAAAGCCTAATGTTAGAAATAAACATTTCACACTCAAAACAAGGTTGCTACCAGACTTCAGAAATGACAAAGATGGCACACAGTCTCTCTATGCAACATCCTTGCCTGCTCTACCCCTCTCAACCAAATTTAAGAAAGCAAACAAGGACACAAGGAATATTGCAGCTTTTAAATGAGGAACAATATTGAGCTTGTTCCAATTTGTAGGTGTCTCAGCCCTAGTCGGAGGCGTTCGATAAAAAACTGCTGTGTCCAACTCAGGAGAAACAAATTTGCTAACCTCATCAATAGGCCGTGCTGAAACTGCCAAGACAGTTACAAAGAGGGATCTGTGTTGAGGAAATGCACCAGTTCAAATAATTCTTCAACACAATATATATTTGCATTACTCCTTTGTTTTCCAGTGAATTCTTACTAATGATTCATTTGCTGGGTGCTTGTGATGGGAAAAAATAAAACTGGACTTTAAAAACACTGCTACCTGCTCATTATGCGAAAAATTAGATACAAAACAAAGCAATTATGCTCAATCTAAATACTGTTTGCAGCATTAATAACAAACTTTTTAGTAACAATCTGACCCTTGACTAGTCTCAGCCTCTAGCTTCCTTTGTTTACATTCAATTTAGTTGGTTTCACAGAGCACTCCCCAGTGGGATGAATGAATGAACAAACCACACACACTTCCGTGGCTTTCAGTCCTGACTGCCTTGTTCCCCGGAGGGTACCTCTCCATTATATAGACTGCAAGACCTCCTTTAACCTTCCCACTAAAACAGCTGGCATGAAACAGCAACTGATGATAAACTCATTGAATGTACTGTCTGGCAAACTGGTGACCATAGCTGTCAACATTAACACCGTGACTGTGCAGAGTAACAGTGCAAAAAAAAATCCAAAATAACTAGAAGTGAATATTCCAGACTGAACACAGAACTTGCAGCATAGGAAAAGGCCATTCAGCCCAACTGATTCAAACATACAACATGAATTTATTTGTAACTGCCATATTTGTCGCCCTGAGTTCTGATCCTGTGCAAACATGGAAACATCTTCACTATGTGGTCTAGGATTATGCTAGACAATCAGGCCACTGCTCAACATTCTCTTTCTGTCTGTCTGTCTGTCTGTCCTGGAGAATACAGTCTATTAAGACTTTCCTGATAAAATCTCTCAGTTCATCCTCGTGCGTTTTTTTGTACTTTCTCGAATACCTCTATCTTTTTCAAAATTCTTTCACAGGAAGTGAGCACTGCTGGTTAGGCTAGCTTTACTGCTCATCACTAATTGCCCCTGAGAAGGTGGTGATGAGCTGTCTTCTTGTCCTGCTACAGTCCATCTGGTGTAGGCTGGCCACAATGTCATTAGGAATTGATTTCTAGTCATATTTATACAAGATAGATACCGGAACTACACGGCTATCCCAAGTGCAGTCCAATCATAGTTCTATGCTAATTTAACATAACTTCCCTGCATTTTGTTTCTACTCCTCTAGAAATTAACCCCAAAGTTTTGTTTGCTTATTTAATAGTCTTATTAACAGAGATGCTAATGGTTCACTTGAGCATTATCACCACCTATGTGTTAACAATAAATGTTATGTGGCACATCGGTCACACTTGTGCACTTTTTTCGCTGAGTTAGTGTGAATAGCAATGAAAATTCAGCACTGTATTCTCAATGAAACAGCTGGGCAGGTCTGCAAAACTCATAATTGCCTGTTTAAACAGTGCCTGCGCTTCAATTCCAATGACTGGCAGTCATGCTTTGGTCTAATGGTTGTAGGTTTCACAGCCTCACAGAAGTCAAGGTCATTTGCTACTTCTGTGCTGTAGCTGAACCCAAAGTTAGTGCTTCAAGATTATAATCACTGAACTCCTCAATCTAATTAACAAATCTTTCATTCGTTCTGGTTTCTGTCATCTCTAACCTAAAGTTCTCATTCCAGTGTTTGAGTGCCCTTCATACCCTCACTCCCTCCTTGAATCTCTAACCTCCTCAGGCACCCTCTTCATTAATTGGATGTCTTCTCTCAGATGTTTTGCCTTGGCCTTAGGCCCCACTGCTTCATTCATTAGTGGCTCTGCCTTCCTCCATCTAGGTACCAAGTTCTGGAATTCCCTCCTTGAATGCCTCTACTTTGCTACATTAAGGCCCTCCTTATCACAGGTGTCATAAGAATACAAGGAATAGCAGTAAAGTAAGGAAATCATTTCAGCTACTTGGGAACGTTTCACTATTCAATTTGATCAGAGCTGATATTCTGCAGGAACTTCACTTTCCCACTGGTTCCCTACCAGCTGTGGCACAGTGGGTAGTACTCTTGCTTCAAAGAGTCATGGGCTCAAGTTGAACTCTTTTTTTCTTTATTCATTCACGGGATGACGATGTTGCTGGCTAGGCTACATTTATTGCCCATCCCTAATAGCCCAGAGGGGAGTTAAGAGTCAACTGGAGTCACACGTAGACCAGACCAGGTAAAGATGGCAGTTTTCTTCCCTAAAGGACATTAGTGAACCAGATGAGTGTTTCTGACAATCAACAATGGATTCATGGCCATCATTATACCCTTAATTCCAGATATTTATTGAATTCAAATTCCACCATCTGCCATAGTGGGATTCGAACCTGGGTCCCCAGAACATTATCTGGGTCTCTGGATTAACAGTCCAGAGATAATACCACTAGGCCATCGCCAACTACAGAGACATAAGCATGTAAACCGCTGCCAGAGCAGTATGAAGTGAAAGAAGTGAAAGGTGCCATAGTCCCAGAGGACCATCAACTGCTCTGAAGATGAACATGAGGGTAACCACTCTCCAGGTGAGGGATGATTGAGAAAGCAAGGATTCATGGTGATCTCAGCCAGTACAGGAATTAAATCTATTCTGGTGGCATCACTCTATCACAAATTGGCCGTCCAACTGGGATAACCAATTCCCAAAATACAACAAAGGAATTAACTGAACATTCCATAACTCAATATTGGGAGTGGGATTTAAATCCATACATGCAAATCAACTTCCTGATTCTGAATTGCATGTGGAGGAGATAACTATATGAATAGTTATGTAGAAAACATTAGTCTTACAGTGAAACTCAACTGCATTCTTATAAAGTATTTCACCTTTACAAAAAGTGTATACTATTGTAGTGGGGCTCTTGTGACACAGTAGTGGTGTCCCCTGTAGCTGGGTCAGAAGATCTATCTGTCCCAGAGACACACTGTAACCTTTCTGAACAGGTTGATTAAAAATATCAGAGTTCTTCCCCAGTGGGAATGGGTTTCTGGGCAGGGGAAGGTGGCAAGTGATATTTGTACTACACTAAGGCATTTGTTGGCTGAAACAGCTCAGATTGGAGTGTTTTAGACTGAAGATCAAAAGGTCACAGTTTCAATTCTGAATTTGAGATCTTGTGGGAGAGTTGTAGTATCCCTACCTCTGAGTCAGAAGATCTGGATTCAAATTCCATCTCCCCTGAAATTGTGTCACAATATGTCTGAACAGGCTAATTAAAATCACTACAGTATTGTAGCATTCATGTTACTGAACCATTTTGGATTACACTATCACAGTTCGAGAATTTGAATTTATTCTTCAATTTAAAAAAAAAGTTTCAGTAAGCGTTACCATGAAACAATCAGATTGCAGTAAAAGAATCCAACTAAAGGAAGAAAATCTGTAATCCTTAGCCAAACTGGGTCTAAATGCAACTCCAGTCCCATATCAATACTTAAGTACCTTCTGAAGTGGCCTAACAAGCAAATCTGTCACATAAAAGTCCATTTGCGGTAACTTGGAATGAGCAACATACTGACAGCTGAATGAATAAAAGTATAATTTAGGTTTTGAAGCCATAAAATGCTATTTCTGATCCTTCCTAAAAACACTAAAGTATTCTCATTTTGAATAGGTGTATAGTCTTTATGGTGCTTTCACTCTCAAGAGCCATACTTGCTATTTTGAGTAGTGATGCAACAATCATTATTGCACAGTGCAAGATGAACCTGCTTTCAACTTGCCATCTTGAGCATGTGACCAAAATTTGTGTTCACCCAGATCTGTATTAGAGTAAAACAACCTGGTTTGTCCCAAAGTTCAGCTACACTAGGTCAAAGAGGACCTTTCTACTGCCCAGTACATCACTTGTAATTTAATATTCCATTAAATTCTCTGACTCTAAGTATAAAGAGCTGTTGTTTCCTTCCCCATCAACACAAGAATAACATGCATCTTCATAGCAGAATAAAATTCAAAGCCACTTCACAGGAGCAAAACCCAGCAAAAATTGACACCAAAACGCAATAAGGAAAAATGGAATTGGGGATAGGGATGCTTAGATCGTAGGATGGTTACCAAAGTATTTAGATTGCTCTAAAAGTAACGG